ACCTTTGACCCTTGTACCCCCCCTAAATTTGTCATCCTGAGTTCCTTTCACGATCCCCCCCGACGTCCCGAATATCGTGACCGTACGTCGAGCGGTTAAGATTTGTGCCCAACTGTTGACGAACAGACGGACGGACGCACGCACGCACAATCATGCGATTCTACCAGCTGCATCTGACTACGTCAGATGGGCTAAAAATTAATAAAATTTCGCATAAAAGCTCGAATGTATCCTTATACTCTGCATGGCACCATGAGAAATAGACTTAAGTACACAAAAGTTCACTAATGCCTATAAATACATGGAAATAATGGTACATTCTGGTTCACTTCAATCTTACAATAAAATGCTCACTGGCGACTTATTAACAGGTTACTTAGGAAAACGTTTCTTCTATGGGGAGGGTATTCTGAAATTTGTCCTCACATGTGCCCCATATATGTATTTGTCCAGCATCTGTCCACCCAATGTCTGGCCTCCGATGTCCCATACTTGTAGTGCCACATGAACATTCCCTAGACAGAAGCAAAGACAAGACCATTGGAAATCTTAATGATAAAAAACCTCAGTCCAACGCATGAGAAAACAAGAGAAGGCACGGAAATATTTGCCTTCTCAGAATAAAAACACTGTTTTTTCCTAATTTTTTCTACTTTATACGTGTGGACGGACCGATGGATGAATGGATGGATGGATGGATAAATGAATGGAGGGTTCGTTTGATGGATGAATGGATGGCTGGATGGATTGATGGCTGGATGGATGGATGGATGGATGGATGGATGGATGAATGGATGGATGGATGGATGGATGGATGGATGGATGGATGGATGGATGGATGGATGGATGGATGGATGGATGGATGGATGGATGGATGGATGGATGGATGGATGGATGGATGGATGGATGGATGGATGGATGGATGGATGGATGGATGGATGGATGGATGGATGGATGGGTGGGTAGATGGGCGGATGGATGGGTGAATGGATATAGCCATTTTGACATGTTAGCTCTACCATGTGAAGAATTTATACAGATGATCATTTCAAGATCAGCATCCATGCATGCATAGAAGTTTTTGTCAGTGTAAGCTAATTACCTGGCACGATGATTCGCCTGAGGAAGAAATCTAGCCCAATTGTTTGCTTGTACTCCCTCCCAAACTGCTCCTGTGTGTAGCGGGTAGCGATGGACGTCTGTAAACGTGCACCACAAATAAGTTTTCATCTAATGAGGAAAGACTGTAGTAGCCTTATGTGGCCCGTAATAATGCCCATGGCGTAGATACATCATTGCTTCCACGTAAAATGTTGACACAGATTTGAGAGCTTCATGTGACGTTTTGGAAGCCTTATAATATGGGTTATTTCCACAAAAAGAGACAAATAATGTTAAGGACATAATTCAGTGTTCTGTCACATTTTTAAAACAAGTGACAAGTTAATTAAATTGTCTATCCTGTTATCATGTAAAATTCAATATCAGTAATTTTGACACGTGTAAATCGTATGAAGGTACCAAGAAGATTTGAGATATATATATGACCAGTACTGGTGCGTGGCAAGTTCAACCATGCATTGGATAGGTGGTTTACTTCATCTTTGGTTTATAGCTTGCATGTGTCAAAATAAAGACGATGTTATAATAAAGAGATGTGCAAGTTGTCGGTAGCATTTTGGAATTTTCTCGTGACTTCAAATTATTTATATTACTAGTATCTATGCTCTGGGTGTCTAACTTAGACAAAAGAAGGGTATACACTATCAACAATTTAATGGATTTAGAAACTATGAATATGATAATGACGATCAAGCCCTGTGAATTTAACATTTTTCAATGGAAATTGGATGAATTTGTTTCCTTTACAAGGCACCATTCACTTCGCGCCCTCTCTATGTATTGGGTTACACATTTTCTGAATTGAGATTAGACATTAATATCTTTCCAACACTTTCCCGGTTACTAACGCTCATAGGGTCTATGTCTGCCAGGGTACTGCCGGAACGTACCCTGGGTACGGTCCGGTATACCGGAACGTACCCTGGTCACTATTTGATATGGTTAGGGTTAGGATTAGGGTTAGGGTTAGGGTTAGGGAGTAGGCGTAGGCGACTCCCTAGACTCGTTAGTGGAGTAGCGGCATATTAGATAGTACGAGGGCACGTTCCGGTATACCGGACCGTACCCAGGGTACGTTCCGGCAGTACCCCGGGGGACATAGACCCTCTCAGCATTAGTCATTACTAACCGAGCCATTTCTGAAAGGGTAAGACTAATCCCCGGGCACTCTGTGAGGGTGAGACCACAGTGTAGGGGTGGTCGGGTAGGGTAGGCCTAACTCTAACGCTAACCCTAACCATAATCCTAAACCTAACCCTAATCCTAACCATACCCTACCCGACCACCCCTACATTGTGGGCTCGCCCTCACAGAGTGCCCGGGGATTAGTCTTTTCCTTTCTGAAAGCAGACCATCGTTGTTTCCGAAACACTAACTCTAATTTGAATAATCAGTCCAGTTTTCTGCTATAAATTTCAAGTGTTAAATGCAGTCATCGTTGAGAAATCCTTTTTTTAACACAATTTCCTGAAGTTAGTTTACAATATTATTAGTTACTAGCTCTACTCTAGTGACTAGTGACGACTGACGACTGACCGTCTGACGTAGTGTGGAGAGATATTAAGCCCAATACTATTTAATATGTTCGTAAATGACATCCCGAACTCCCTTAAAAATGGGGTATATCCTAAAATTATGTCAGAACCAATCAAATGTCTCATGTATGCTGATGACCTCGTACTATTCAGCGAAACTGAAACGGGCCTCCAGAAACACACACACGCGCTCACGCACACACGTCGCACACGCACACACGTCACACACACGCGCTCACGCACACACGCACACACGTCACACACACGCGTTCACGCACACACGTCGCACACGCACACACGTCGCACACGCACACATGTCGCACACACGCACACACGTCGCACACACGCGTTCACGCACACACATCACACACACGTCACACACGCGCTCACGCACACACGCGCCTACGCACACACGTCACACACATGCGCTCACGCACACACGTCGCACACACGTCACACACATGCGCTCACGCACACATGCGCTCACGTACACACGCGTTCACGCACACACGCACACGCGCGCTCACGCACACACGTCGCACACACGCGCTCACGCACACACGTGCTCACGCACACACGTCGCACACACGCACTCACGCACACACGTCGCACACACGCGGTCACGCACACACGTCGCATACGCACATATGTCGCACACACGCGCTCACGCACCCACGTCGCACACACGCGCTCACGCACCCACGTTGCACACACGCGCTCACGCACCCACGTCGCACACACGCGCTCACGCACCCACGTCGCACACACGCGCTCACGCACACACGTCGCACACACACACATGGGCTCAAGCACACACATCACACACACGCGCTCAGCACACATGCGCTCACGCACACACGCGCTCACGCACACACGCGCTCACACATACACGTCGCACATACGCGCTCACGCACACACGTCGCACACACGCGCTCACGCACACACGTCGCACACACGGCGCACACACACACGTCACACACATGCGCTCTCACACACGCGCTCACTCACACACGTCGCACACGCACACATGTCGCGCACACGCACACATGTCGCACACACGCGCGCGCTCACGCACACACGTCTACGGCTACGGGTACCAGTCTAGCTTGCTGCCAGCCGCAGTAGACGATCGATAAACCGTGCGCCTGCATGTACACATGCCTGTGGTAGATTACGAATGCTGCACGTGAACTCGGAAAAAAACGGAAAACGTGGAAACAATTCTGGGATCGAGGAAAAAGCAGAAATGCGCGGAAACGCGGAAAATTTTCATGCCTGCATCATTGATTAAAGGGCCACAGCGAACTACACATGTACGCAGGCAATCAAAACGCTCTGAAAGTACAGATGCATCGGCATATGGAGAAACAAGCATGTACAGAGGTGGCACCTAGTGTTAGCCATCAAATAAAAATGAAAATAAACAAAAGCCGCAGAGCGTCTGGGCTCATCTAACGTCTACTGCGGTGACTCTGTGGTGGAGTGGTGGGATTCTAGTAAACCCTGTTAGTCCCAAATGTGTT